TGACAATAGAATTAGCCTGAAGCCATTGGTGGAAGTTTAGGGCGAAATCATGATTTCTAGTTCTGCCTTTATTCATCTTTAATGTACCTGATCACCTACTTCCCCATCAACACTCCTACATCACTGAGGCATTTTGCCACCATTAAAGCCAACCCTGTTTTTTCCCCCCAAAATCAGGTTCCACCCTGTTACTCGAAATTGGAAGGGCGGTTAACATATTGGGAGAAAAAGGAAACATTCCAAAGGATACAGATAAACTGGAAAAATTGGACAGAAGCTAATAAAATTAAATTCAACAGAGACAAAATGCCAGCTTTTCCCTTTAGGTCACAAATACCAAATGCACAGGCATAGGATGGGGGATACATGGCTCAGCAGTACTACATGCAAAAAGGACTCTGTGGTTATTGTGATCGTAAATTGAATCTGATGCAGTATGATCCTGCAGCAAAAAAGGCAAATATTGTTTTAACTTGTATTAAAAGAAACATACTACTTCATCACACTAGAGAATGAATCCAATTTAAATCCAGTTTCTGCCTCCCTATTATAGGCTGTTAAAGGCTCCTCCCTAAACTACAAACCCCAGAATTCTGCAGGAGGCAGAAACTGGATTTTAAGTGGATTCATTCTCTAGTGTGATGAGGTCCTAGAAACTACCATATAAAATCCAGATTATCTGCTTTGGGCTGGATTATATGGCAGTGTAGATTCATATAATCCAGTTCAAAGCAGATAATGTGGATTATCTGCTCTCATAATCTGGATTATAAGGCAGTGTAGAAGGGGCTATAGTTTTTCCAAGTTAAGAATACAGTAGAACTTGTCAGGTCTCATCTGGAATTAGGCATTCAGTCTTTGGTGCCTCATTTTAAGAAGAATCTAGACAAATTGGAGCAGGTTCAGAGAATGGCAACAAGGATGATAAGTGGTCTGGAGAACAAAACAAATCGTGAAAAGTTGAAAGAACCTGATGAAGCAAACACTGGGGAGTGGCACATTTCCACTATTTAAATGCCTCAAGGTGTGCCACAGAGAGGAGGGATCAGTTCTGCTGTAGGCCGCCAAAGAGTGTAGGACCAGGTTTGAAGTTACATGAGAATAGATTTCAGCTGAATATTAGAAGGAACTTCCTCACAGTAAGAGTGGTTTGGCAATGGAATCATTGCCTAAAGAGGTGGTGGGCATCCTTCTCTGGACATCTTCAAAAAGAGGTCAGACAGTTACCTGTCAGGAATGCTTTAGCTGGAGATTCAACCTTCAGCAGAGAACTGGACACAATGGCCCATGAAGCCCCTTCCAACTCTATGATTCTACTATTCAAGATTAGATGAGGACACAGATTAGGTATGCTTAGTGCTCCACCTTTCTCTCTTCCTCTCTCCCCCACCCCCATCCCATGTGCTCCACTCACACAACCCATGCACACACATATAAACCACTCCAGAGACAATAATCAAGGAGCATAAGAAGGGCCTGGGGAGATGTCTTAAGCCCCCATTTCCCCTTTTGAATGGCTTTTGAAAATCTTTCTCAGAAGGGCATTTTATGATTGATTGCTGCAGGGGTTTTTTGTAGGGTTTCAAGCGGCTTTGCTGTATCCCATTTAAATATATTTATAATGCTTTATTGTGCATATATTTTATTTTGTGTATGCCAATTTGAGAATTCTTTTGAAAACTGAGGTTTGGAGCACACAAATCAAATGATACATTGTCTTATATTGCAAGCAGTTCTCTATTCCCAAACCCAAGATCCAATTTTGGAGAAAGGAATTAAGGGTGGGATATCCGACTGTCAAAATATGATGGGTGCTACTTTGCAATCTTGGATCTGCTTTCCGGAAGATGAGAATTCAGGATATTGCTTTGCACCAGAAGGCGCCAGGCAGTATACAAGTGGTCATGTTTTCCCCCACTGCAACACTGCAATGGCAGAAATGCTGCTACTCTGAATGAGGGAGCAAACATATCTCTGATGATCCCTGCTTCTGGAAAGAGAAATGGAAAGCTCCTCTCGCTTTGTGTTCCAGTTTGGAGACCATTTACTTTGGCCCAATAATTAATGGAAGTCATTTAGCACTGCACAGCCCAGGTTCTGCTGAAAATCTGTCAACACCTAGTGATGCTGAAGGGTTACTTTGAGAAAAGGTACATTGGTGGGCCAAGAGACAGAACTGGCTTGCTCCACATACCAAGTGTGATGCTTCAATGGGCTTCTTCGCACCCTTTTTGACTCAGTATTGTGTGGGAATGGTTTGGGCCCATAATGATGGCCTCAATACTAGAGCATGGTGGAATTCTGGGAATGCATGGCAGCACTCTTAAGGGGCATGGAAATGACAAAGAGAAAGGATTTCGGGAATGCTGAGCTATCAAATGTATAGACAGTGACTGCAATTTCCATTAACAATGGCTATGATCGGATAACAGTCTGGTATGTGAAGACTGGGTACGAAGCCAAAGTGAAGGCTATGGTGCTGTGGCAAGAAAGCTTGCAGAGTTCTGGCTTGCCACAGGGCTGAAAGATTGCAGCCACTGTTTATTGTCTTGGTGTATTGTGTGAATGGCATGACAGTTCTTGACTAATTTGTCCACACAACAATCACACCCTATGAAACTGCTTGTTATTATTCCCATTTTTCAGATAGAAAACAGAGTATAAAATATGATAGCTTAATCAAGAGAAAGGCTATGACTGAGCTGTCATTTTGGCATCACAATGTATCCACAGGATCCAACTGGCTCTCATCATGAACAATCCCCACATTTGAATCCATTATTCTCCCCATTGCAGATCCACCAGAAACAAAGTCCATTGGCATTGGCTTGGTTCCTCAGCAAATTCTCAAAATCTATAAGCAGCTGAAGTGCATGTAAAGGAATTTAGAAGACCCTTCCACCATCCCTATATAACACATTTGTCTCCACCCATCCACTCTACTTTTTCTCTTTCTCCTGTCCCCACTTTTATTAGCATCAAAGATCTGCAATGCACATGCTCAGTAATCCATCTTTCCAAGGGTGAAGAGCAAGCTTTACCATTTGCAATTTTTTCAAAAAGCATTTGCAAGTCTCTTTTGTATGACAGCGAGGGAACCAGCAGTGGAATATGAATGACTTGTATATTGGTCTAGCTTCACACTCTTATAAACAAAATGTGCATTTCCTCCCTTAAACTGTCAACAACTGCACAAACACAGAAGTCTATTTTTATTCAACACTAGCTTTGCACAACACAATTCATTTTAGAAAGATTTCCCATACACACGCTTAACTTTCCTATTCCAGAATACAATGTGTCACTGCAGTCCAAGCCCCAAATTTTTTCAAAGCTCTGCACTTGAGGATGAAGATTTCAGCACATTTCAAAACAGCAATTACTTCCACCAGGAAGGAGAAGACATCTTGTTTCCAAATCCTATTCTGAATCTCAGCAGACATTTAAACTTACAAAGGAGGCATATTTTAGAATCTACATAACCCCAAAAGGTAACATATCCAAACATTTTGTGATTTCCTTTTATGACATAAGTTACAAACAATTATAATGGAAAGCAAAAGGATTACATACCAAGTTGAATTGATGGACGCAGACACAGGGTGAATCTTGGATTTGTTTTTCTACCAGCAGCTCTGAGAAAACCCCCCACCTACACATGTAAATCTCAGCAGGACAACTCAACTCACACATTCCATTCATTCATATATACACAATATCATTCCCATCAGGCTGCTCTCAAATACTGTCTATGATTTCTGGACACATCAGGACTCCCAAGTTCTCATACTCATCTGATCTAGGATTACAGGGCCTATAGGTGTAGAGGGACACCATCTCCTTATGCCAGATATCGCTCTATGTGTTTGAGAGACAGAGAAAACTAGAGAGGAGGATAAAATATTCTTATACTGTGGGATATATTTCAAAATTAGCCTCTTCTTTCCCCTCTTCTTGATTTCTCCCTTCATTAAGGGTGACACTCAGCTCCCAGGGCCTCCATTAGGTTTCTCCTGCTTCATCATGTGCCTCCTTCTACATACTAGGATAAGTTGGTCATTGAGCCAACAGTGCTTGGAAAATCCCGGTTAAAAAGGCCTCACAGTGCACCTAGCTAGAAATAGTGCTGGGGTGGTAAGGGGGAAGCTTTCTCTATATTTCACCTCTGGGAATGAAGCTAATTGCTTGCTGAGTCTCCAGAAAGAACATGAAGCCCCTGTGTCTGGAGAAGGGGAAATGAGAGCCCAGCTAACAAAGACTGTCTCCAAAACCCTGAGCTACAGGAAATGAAAACCGATGCTATCTGTACTGCCATTGCCTCTTCCCTGCTTCTCCCTCCACCCTTTGCATTGATAAAAGACAATTGGCTTGAGAGACAGGTCCTTAGCAGGTAGAGCAGAGGATTTGGGGGGGGGGAGCACATACAGAGCAGAAGATACTTGGGTTAGTGAGGCACTGCTACCCTCTGCATAGGGAAATCATGAATGTAGAGAGAAGCAATAAGCACATTCAAGTCTGGTAAGACTAGCTGCAACACATGTAGTAAGGGGGATGTAGGGGGGACCTCAATGAGATATTACACTCCATGGTTCAAAGCAGGGATGTAATCACAGAGCTGGGTAGTGCCAGGTGTTGCTGCATCCATGTGTTTGATTCATGGTTTGATAAACCTGGTTGGAAGCAAAAGGTGTCCAGGCAGAGATAAGATGGTTAGGTGGTGAGCATATGCAGGAATGAAACAGATGTGGCAAGTCAACAAACAGCACAGAGACAATCAGCTACAATGCCTGGGGTGGGGTCCTCATGCAGGTGACTGGGGCATCATGCAGGAGCAGATTGGGCAAGGCATGCAGGAACCAAAGTAGGACACAGGCTTTGGCATTGCCCTTTCTCAAGTTTAAGTTGCTACCACTGCGGCCTAAGTGTTGGTACCCCCCCCCCCCCACATCCCACACACACATTCACAAACACTCACACATACTCCCCTCAAAAAGGATATGGCCATTCGGTGATCTTTTTGGCGTATTTCCTCACCACGTTGTCCTCACTGAAGAGGAAGAGGGAGCGGTTGACAGTCAGGCAGCTCTGCCGGACAGGAATGGGGTTGTAGAGGGCCATGGTGCGGGCTCGCTGGGCCATCGACTGCTTGTATATCCTTTGGGCCCCTGGGGGGCCACCTTGCCGGACACCCCCAGCACCCCGGCCACCTCCGCCACCAGCCGCTCCCGAGCCAGCTCCCCCTGGACCTCCTGCCCCATAGCGGGCTGGCACCTCATCTCCAAACCGAGCCATCCTGCAAAGAGCAAAGGGCCGGGGGTTATGCTGCTGAGGATGCTGCCGGAGAGAAGAAGAAGAGGAAGAAGAAGAGGAGGAAGAAGAAGGAGCTCATCACATCCCATCGGCTGCTGTAGGATGCTGCGAGGGGAGCTTGCAGCAGAGGGAGGGGGCACTCAGGCTGGAGCACGGCCGGAAAAAGCAGCAGAGATCCTGGACATGGTCACTCTCGCCTCCCTTTGCAGGGTGGAAATGATGAAAAAAGCCCCCCACCCTCTAAGGTGGCAAATGTGAGGGGGCAGGCACACCCCAAAAAAAGAAAAAGAAAAAAGACACCCCCCCCTAAAAAACCCCCACTGGGTTGCAGATACAGGGAGAAAAAAGATCAGTGCACCAAACTGCCCTTTAAACTAATTGCAAAGAAAAAGATTCAATGCACCATCCATTAAAAATATTTCCTTTTTTAAGAAAAAAAATAAAAATACATTGACAGGGAAGGGGGGGGGGGTGACAAGTAAATGGACCAAAAGCAGCACCTCCTCCCCACCAAGGGAGGGAAAAAATGCAATTAAAGAAATCGAATGCACCAATTTCTTACTCCTGCCTCTCTCCTCAAAGCCAGAAGGGAAGAAAATTGGAATAAAAAGGAAAAGGAAAAAGACGCCATCAAAAGGAGGCTCTCTGTCTAGGTATTTGCAATATAATTTGGTGGGAGAAATGCAAGCTCCCTGTGTGTTGGGCAGCTTGATAAATGATTGCACTCCCAAAGGGGGAATTTTTTAAAAAAAATCTGTAAGATTTATGAAATCAGTACATGCTCCCCCATATCACAAATCAAGAAATAAAGTACTGCATTGATGAGGAGGAAGAAAAAAAAGCAATGAGAAATGTACTGGAAAAAGACAGAAAAAATTAACCTGGACAGATGCACACATACACACACATACACATACAAAACCAAAACCACCCTAAAATCAAAACAAAATTTCCCCCCTCCCAAGGTTTGTTTTCACTGGCGCTTCATCCTGCTGTCTTCAGCACTGTCCAAGATCTGGAGGGAGGAAGGGATATGGGCTCGCGTCAAGCTTCTGAAGCTGTAGGATGCTCCCCCCTCTTGCTGTCCGGTGGTCTCTCTTTCTGTCTTTTCCCCCTGGTGTGATTGCGTGGATGAGTGTATATATGTCTGTGCGTGCGTGTGTGTTATGAGAGAGAGAGAGAACAGGAGAGAGAGGGAAAAAAATGGGAGAGAGAGAGAGAGAAAATGCCTGTGTGTCAGTTTTGCCTCATCTTGGAGTTGAATGCAGCAAAGAAATCCTGTAAAATCCAAAAATTAAAGAGACAAGAGAAGTAGTTGCCGTCCACCATCCACTCATAAGGGTTCCCTGGTTGCTGCAATGTCTAGTATTTTTTCCTGCCCTGTATTCCTCCTCCTCCTCCTCCTCCTCCTCCTCCTCCTCCTGGGTAAGCTAAAATAAGACTGGTGTTAGGGAGGGAGGGAGTCAGGCAGAGAAATGAAAAAAAAAGAAAGAAAAGGTCTGATTCACTGGCAGGTTGAGCTCTAATGTGCAGCAGTGGATCGATTTAATGCAAGCACAGAGCATCCCAAAGCTTCGGCCAGGCTTGGCACATGATGGCCTAGAACCAATAGCAGGGGCTACAGCCCAACCAAACCCAGTTGGGTTTCTACAGGGAGAGAAGGACACACACACACACAGAGATGGTGTAGGGAAAACCTGCATACAAATGACATCTCTCAGCAGCCCACACCCTGGCAGATTAGATGGATGTCAGATCCCTGGAGGAAGCTGAGATCTGTCTATTGAAAAGCAGGGACACGAAATAGCCCCCCAAGATGCCTTTTTTGGTATAAAAATCAGGTCAGGATAGGCTTCTCCTGTTTTACACCAGCATTTGTGTTGCATTTGGCAACCAGCACGACTGGGGAGGAGGGAGAGGCGAATGCGAGAGTTCCAGTGCAACGAAAGAGATGTTTTGCTGCTCAGAGGAACTGGATCCACAGTGGTATGGAATATTTATGTAGGACAAATGCAGATGTGTATGCAGAAGTCACTGTATGCATGAAAGCACGAGGATGTGTAAGGGCAAAGCAATGGGAGCTTAAACATGCAGGTGTGCACACCAGGGCATTTATGGGTGAGACCAAGGACAGCAAAGTTCACGTGCTGCAATGGCCATTACACCGACAAATCTGCACAAGCAGCCAAACTGACACTTTGCTGGTTAAAACTAGCCTGGGCTCTGTATGCCAGTATTAAAATGTCAGTTAATTCCAGTGCTCTGGACTCAGAGCTCATTTTAGCAGATGTTAACTCGACGTTCTCTGGCTCCATGAGTCAAACCAGTACTTCATGGGCAGCAGCTTCCTTTGAATATAAAGAAATCCTTGTCTTTGCCACCACAAATCTGGCAATGAGGTCACTGCAATCAAATAGCTTAACACTTGGGCACAATTGACATGAAGGGGAAACTGATAGACTGCAATCTTATACCTACCTGCCCTGAAATAAGCCTATAAATAAGCCCTAAGTGAAGCTTTGAGCAGCATAATGCTTTTTAACAGCCCTGGGAAATCTGCAGCCGTCCAGGAATTGTTAGACTACAACACCCAGTAACCATGGTTGGTACAGTTAATGTTGTGTGGATATGAGATCTACAGTCTAGCAACATGTGGAGAGACACACATTTGCCATATCTGATATACCACAAGATAATAAAGATGACTTCATACATTGGCTGTTTCTAGCACAATGTACACCATCTCTTCTTTATAATGAGGCAAACAGAATATGTCCAAGGTAGTGGTGGCATGTCTACAAAACCTCTCATCAAGCACTGAAAACACTTGCGTTGTCATCGCTGTGTTACTGTGGTCATCGATTTGGATATTGTCAAGCCCTATGAGGAGTTGCTTAAGGAGCTGGGTGTGTTTAGAAACTGGGGAAGAAAAGGATAACAGGGGACATAATGGCAATGTTTAAATGTTTGGGAAGATGCTGTACTGAAGGTGGAGCAGGTTTGCTTTCTGCTGCTAGGACATGGAGAAATGGATTCAAACTGCAGGAAAAGACATTCCACTTAAACATGAAGAAGAACTTCTAGATTATAAGAGCTGCTTGACAGTGTAATATGGTGGCTCCAAGTGTGGTGGTGTTTTCCTCTATGGAGGTTTTTAAGCAGAGGCTGGATGGACATCTGACAGGAATGATTTGATTATGTGTCCCTTCATGGCAGTGGGCTGGACTAGTTGGGCCTTATGGTCTCTTCCTATAAGTCTACAGAGCGCATACAAAATGATAATGCTAGACCAGTGTAAGAGGCTGCATTGAAAATGCTCTTTGTGGTGTGATATGGGTTCTAACAGCATTAGTGGCAATACACATCATAGGCATCACTGTACATCTGTCTTTGACTGCAGCATTTTTGTCTTCTCTCTGCCTTTACCTTCTTAAAATGCTAGTGCAGTGGTTCTCAACCTGTGAATCCCCAGGTGTTTTGGCCTACAACTCCCAGAAATCCCTTTCAGTTTACCCGGATTTATGGGAGTTGAAGGCCATCTGGGATCCCACAGGTTGAGAACCACTGCAGTTGTGGTAGAGGTTGAGTACACATCCAGATCAACATGAAACAGTATAGGGTATTGCATGCTCATCAGGATGCAATTTTCAAACATATTGATCAGTGCATATAGGGCAGACTGGAGTGAGGGAAGCAGGATGATTAAAAAAAGAATAAAATATTGTACAAGTTACTGTTATTTCTTTAGAAACATTTATAAGGCACTTTTCAAATTTCAGAATGAAGAACAACAATTAAAAATTACAAAACACAACCCCAAACTATTACACAACCTGCAAGGAAAATTCAAGAGGAAATCTATACAACACCTTGTAGTTATTTTTATAGTTACAATAGCCTAATTGAATTACTGCACTTGTGTGTCCATTTTCTTTTTTGAAAGATATGATGACAGCATGGATAGAACAAGATAACGAGTTCTTAGCACCAAAGATGGCATTGTTTTGATTTATTCTTTAACAATTTCTGAAATCACAGCATTTGCAAAAGGGAAGATTAAGCTATCAATTAAGCAGTGGATGTCTATCACATGATAATATTTTTGCCATCATTACCATATCCTACTTTATGTGTGTGGACACACATGCATGCACCTTCAAGTCACATGTTGGTTTAATGGAGACCCCATGGATTTCATAGTGCCTTCTTAGGCAAGGAGTGCTCAGAGGCACTTTGCCATTTCCTCTGAAGTAGAGCTTAGTATATCTTCGTAACCTCCCATCCAAATATTAGTCAGATCTGCCTACTTAGCTTATGAGAACAAACGGGATCTGGTGCATTCAAGGTATTTAGCTTCCCCTATTTTGGTGAGTAGCCAAAAAGATCAGACACCTAGTTGCAGCTGCGTAGCCTCAACTCTAGTCAATTTCACACTTTTTCCATGTCATTCAAACACGATCTCTGCTTGCCAGGTATGAATAACAAATTGGAGGTAGGATTGGACTTTCCTTTTGATGTTAACTGATAAGAAATAATATATCAGAAAATTTTAACAGTGACGATGTGCTAAATAGTACTACTTGGAATTTCAGCAAAATATAACTCAAAGAAGAAAACTGGGGCCTGATCTTGTTATTCTTCCCAATTACAGTAGAATCATTTAATCAGTAGTATCTGCTGATAAGTTGGTTCACCAAGCAACAGCTGATTCCACAGATTTGTTTCAGCTTGTAGGAACAAACAGGATTCAGGCCTAAGGATCCACTCACCTTGTTGAAATTTCAACGTCCTCATTCTCTAGCAGACAACTATTAGATGATTTATCCCTTTTCACTATTACAAATGGAGTCCCCTGTGGCACTGTGGGTTAGACCCTTGTGCTGGCAGGACAGCTGACCAAAACGCCAGTAGTTCGAATCTGAGGAGTGGGGTGAACTCCCATCTGTCAGCTTCAGCTTCTCATGCGGGGACATGACACAGCTT